AACACTGACCAAGCAAGTGAAAGCAAAGATAAACAAATGGGACTACATTAAGCTAAGAAGATTCTGCACCTCAAAAGAAAGGGAGGACAAGATACAGAGACAGCTCACTGAATGGGAAAAAAAGATTTACCCAATACCTATAAGATAAGGGGTTACTATCTAAGATATATAAGGCACTGGTATAACAATAAGGAAAAACCTCCAAGCTCATCAAAGAGTGGGGAGAAGAAATGAACAGAAACTTCCTTAACAAAAAAATAAAAATAGCCAAAACACCCATGAAAAAATGCTCTACATCACTGATCAGGGAAATGCAAATCAAAACAACAAAGGGATATCAGCTTATACCACAGAGATTGGTACACATCAAAAAGAGTAAAAACAAACAATGTTGACATGGATGCAGGGAGAAAGGAACTTTCATTCACTGTTGGTGGGAATGTCAACTGGTCCAGCATTTTTGGAAAACATATGGGTATTCCTCAAAAATCTAGAAATTGAATTTCCATATGACCCAGCAATACCACTTCTGGTAATATACCATGGGCTGCAAAAATATACACTTGTCTGTTCATTGCAACACTGTTCACAATAGCCAGAATATGAAAGCAACCTGAGTGCCCGAGAATAGATGACTGGTTAAAGAAACTATGGTACATCTACACAACGGTAAGCTATAAAGTTGTTAGAAAAAATGAAGTCATGAAATTCGCTTATAAATGGATGGACATGGACAGTACCATGCTAAATGAAATAAGTCAAAAAGAGAAGGACGGACACAGAATGACTGTACTCATTTGTGGGATATCAAAAAACTAAAGAAACAAAACATAGTAAGAGACTAACACCTAAGGAGAATGGAAAAGGGGTCAGGACAAATGGGATCGCTCTTGATGGGAGATGTATGCTGAAAGTGGGCAAATGACCAAATATGATGGCCTCTTAGTATCATATTGCAAATGATAATTCTCAAAAATGGGGGAGGGGGGAGAGGGATAGAGGAAGAGAGAGAGACAGACAGACAGACAGACAGACAGACTGACGGACAGACAGAGACAGAGGGACAGAGAGAGACAGAGAGGAGAAAAGTGTCTGCCAAGAGGCAGGTTGGTGAAGACTGGGTGGCAGAAGGGATATTGGGGATATTGGTGGTAGGGAAATTACACTGGTACACTGGTGGAGGGATGGGTTTTGGAACATTGTATGACTGAAACTCAATCATGAGAGCTTTGTAAGAGCATCTCATAGTGACACGGTGATTCATTTAAAAAAGAGAGAGAATCATTTTCTTTTCATGTGGTCAAGATCAAATGTTTTTGATTAGAGTTATGTCTTGCACTAGAAATTTTATGCATGATAGTTTCATATGATATGTAAAAAGGTACATTTGAGTTATGTTCTGATGATTTGACTAGAAGTAAAATTGATTATTCATTCTCCACTTTTAAAATGAACCAGTAAAAGCTCTGGTTCATTTGAGTATACAGGACCACTATATATTCACATTCATAAACATTCTCAGTGGTGTTTGAATCATAATTCCATATAAATTTAAGAGACATTTTAGACAGTAATATATATATATACATATATATATTTCAACTCCTAGACTATAGGATGGTACTTAGGTGTTCATTATAGAGGTATCAACTAGTTTTGAAGGAAAGAATAAAGCTTTGACTTTTGCTTGGCCTCTTGTTGGAGGCTTTTAAAATGCTTGGAGTTCTAATATTTTTACTAATGGAGACTCAAGATAAATATAGAACTGAATATGGAAGGGTAAAGTTAAATTCTGGGAAACCAGAAACATAAATATGGGAGAAAGAACTGTAGCGCATAGCACTACAGAATTTTTCAAGCTGTTATTGTTTAAAATACCATGTAAAGTACAACTTGCTTTTTTTTTAATATGTAGGTGTTTGGAAGTATTTCCTTTTGGGGGTGGGGTATTTGGCTTCACTCCCTCCAGAGCTGTGATTTCTCTGTAACTTGGAGACTACTTTCCTCTCACTACATCTCATTTCCAAAATTCATGAAAAATGAGGTGTCAGACACAAAAGTGATTTCAATTTGGCTAACAGTTCAAGAAACTAAACTACTGATTGCTTTGTAAAAGTCTCCATCCTGAACAGTGCAACTGAAAATTACCCAACTATTCAGTTCAGAATAGAAATTTGAACCCGTTGCTCTAAAAAGTCATTTGAAAGTTCTTAAAATGCCTAAACTAAGTGTCTGTTACCCTTAATGCTGTCCTTCATGTATTACCTTGTGAGATTATTTTAGGCAACCCAAGGTCTATTTCCCATTTCATTTCTTATTTGTCCCTGCAAATATGTTCTCTTTTCTTCCTTAATTTTCTTCACACCTAGTCGCTGGAACAACTATCAATTCTGTTTGGACAAAATGATGGAAAGGGTCTCAAGAAAATATGGGAACATGACAAAGAAACTGTAGAAGAAATGAGAATTTTGAATGCTTCTCAAAATAAATATCATTTTTTAAAAATGTGCAGTTTTGAAGAAAGTGGAAAGACTCATAGTTCATATGTCAATTTGGGGTTTTCAGGTCTCCTAAGATTTGGTTGCCTTGAATGTTGTCCCAAGATTTCTGTGAATTTAGATGCGGAAATTTGTACTGCTCATGATGACCTCTGGCTTGGGTTTTGCTTAAACTGAATTATTACTCTCAGTGTTGTGTCTTCTAGTTACCATTTATCTCCAGGATGGTGTCTCTCAAATATGCATGTTTTTATTTTGACAGTAAATTATTCACTGAGAGTTTTCTTATGCACATAAACCTTTGCCAAAAGTTAGATATTTACATTTTAGGAGAAGAAAATATTCCATAGACTATTAAATGCCTTTGTTAATCTCTTGTTTTTCTGGATAATGTTTTTTTTCTTTTTGTCTCCCTCTCTTCTCCTGTTCTCCTCTGTCTGTCTAAGTGAAATCTTCCCTCTCCTATTGTTCTCAGTCTCTCTTGGTGAAAAAAAATGATTAAACCATTTTAACTATTTTATATCCTTTCCCCCTTTTGCACATATAACTATTCAGCCATTGAAATTTCTCATTTGTTTTTCTATATTAGATATCTTTTGTCCAGGTCCTTTGTGGACAGTGGACTGGGGAGATGAGAATGTATCCCAGTGACTAATAACATTGTGTGGGTGGGATATAGATATAGTCCTGGGGTTTGCTTTTCCATTACAATCTTTATCAGTTGTCCATCCTTGTGCTCTCTGGATTTCAACACATTCTTTGACGGTGACTTTAAAATTCACTCTTTAGGCAGAATAGGGACCTCCAAAGATGCTCACCAATGATTCAGTGATTCCCAAGAGCCTGTGAATGTGTTAGGTTACATGAAAAAAGGAATGATGTTTATCAGTAGGGCCATGCTTTCTAATCAGTTGATTTTACAATGGAAAAATATCTTGGCTTATACATTAGGATCATTGTGATTGCTCAGATGGAGTCAGAACTGCAGGTTCTAAGTATCTTACTGGCCACTTCTGACTTTTCAGAGGCAGAAAGAGGATGATTAGGCAAGGAAGACAGGCAGCCATGGAGACTGGTAAGGGTCTTCTAGAGACTAAAAATGGATTCTCTTCTAGAGCATCTGGAAGGAAAATAATGCTGCCCACATCTTGATTTTAGCTTACGAAGATTCATTATGCAGACAGGAGAGTCACCTAAATGTAGTGGGTTTTCCCCTCTAGTCAGACAACAATCTCAGTAGCAGTCACAGCAGAAATGGTGGGGGTGATACTCAAAAGGCAATAGGTGCCATCATGTGCTCATTAAGAACCATCATCCCAGTCATGGCCCAAGACGGGAAGAACAGCTATTCTGCATAACCAGAGCAAGATGCACGGAGAAGCCTCTTTTGTAAGGTGGCTACAAGTAGAGCCTGTTTAATTCCCTACCAGCAAAAAATAAAATAAAATAAAAATAACAAACTCAGGAACCGCCCCAAGGGTAAACATCATTCATTTTCACAGGACTTACAGAGCCTGCATTTATACCACATTGTGTTGTGGCCCATATCATCTTCCACAGGAGACTTTTTTTTTTTTTTTTTTTTGCTTTTTGGGTCATATCCGGCGATGCCTAGGGATTACTACTGGCTCTGCACTCAGGAATCAGCCCTGGCAGTGCTCAAGGGACCATATGGGATGCTGGGAATTGAAGCCAGGTCAGCTGCGTGCAAGGCAAACACCCTACCTGCTGTGCTATTGCTCCAACACCATACAAGAGACTTTTAATAGTCACATTATTTACTTTTCAGTGCTCCCACTGGCACTGGCTATAGAACTCTGCTCCTGATGTGTTGCTGTACCCCCAAGGGAAACCGCTCCTTTTTCTGAGTCGACTGTCCTCCTGATCACAACTTCTTTCTAAGTCATGGTCTCGCATAGGCAATTCGGTAATATTTTTGCAGTAATTTTTAGCCCCTAAACTCTTCCCTCCTTCAGTCACCTGGTCCTTCATCAAGACCTATATTCCAATTTTTTAAAAATAATTTGTGTTGAAAATGTCAAGGAAAGAGAAATCTGTCAGCATCTCTAGTTTTCCACTCTCTTACCAGAACGCCCTTCTTAATCACTCGGCCAAAATATCTTGTCATTACCACAAAATAAACACATCTAAATTGCAATTTTACTTGAATTTGCATAGCTTTATTCATTTTGTTGTATTTTGTGACATATTTTTCTTTTAAAAAATTTGGGCTGGAGCGATAGCACAGCGGGTAGGGCGTTTGCCTTACAAGCGGCCAACATGGCCGACCCGAGTTCGATTCCTCCGCCCCTCTCGGAGAGCCCGGCAAGCTACCGAGAGTATTCGATATGCCAGACACAGTAACAACAAAGTCTCCAATGGAGACGTTACTGGGCCCGCTCGAGCAAATCGACGATCAACGGGAGGGCCTTTACCTTTACCTTTTAATTCCAGTTTATTTTATATTCAATATTTGGGTACTGATTACTTTCTCCCTTTTATAAAAACACGGAATGCTTCTCAAGTATGCCGTCATTCTTGTGCAGGGGCCAGGCTGATCTGTGTATCATTGACAATTTTAGTACATGTGCTGACAAAGTGAACACCATTCTCCCCCCACCCACCATGATTTCACTACTGTTGATGATAAGATTTCATGCGTGCATTGTTCCAACATGACTCTCTCCACCACTGTGCCTGCTTCTCTCCATCAGAGTCACAAGGAACCTTCCCACCACCCCTCCAACTCCCAGATAAGTTTAGGTCTCTGGACCAACTCTCCAGTTATATTGCCTTTGACCATTTGTTGCTCCCTGACCATATTTTTTATATTCCACATGGGATAGAGATCATTCTCTGTCTGAGTTCATTCAGCATGATACACTCTAGTTCTATCCAAATAGCAGCAAAAATGACTTTATTATTTTTTATAGCTGAGTAGTAATCTATAGTGTATATTTACCACAATTTCCTTATCCAGTCATCTGTTCGTGGGTGCTTTTGAACTGTTTTCAGATCTTGATGATTGGAAATAGTGTTGTAATGAACTTTGGGGCACAAACATCATTTTGAAATACTGGTTTTGGATTTGGAAGATAGATGCTGCAAAGGGGATTGCTGGTCATATTAAAAAAAGTCAACTATTAGTTTTCTGAGAAGTTTTAATATTATTTTCTAAACCATTAGATAAAACAGCAAATAATCCCAGAAACAGTACTTGAGGGTTTCTTCCCTCCCACATTCTGCCAGAATTGATTATTTTTGTTTGTTTTTATGTACGCCAATCTTACTGGTGCGAAGTGACATCTCACTGTACTTTTGATTTGCATTTCCTTGATGATAAGTAGCACTGTAGCACTGTCCTCCCATTGTTAATTGATTTGCTTGAGCAGGTCCAGTAATGTCTCCATTGTGAGACTTGTTGTTACTGTGTTTGGTATATCGAATACGTCATGGTTAGCTTGCCAGGCTTTGACATGCGGGCGAGATACTCTCAGTAGCTTGCTGGGCTCTCTGAGAGGGGCAGAGGAATTGAACCGGGGTCGGCCAGATTGGCCAAGATTGGTCAAGTGCAAGGCAAATGCCCTACCCACTGTGCTATCATTCCAGCCCATTTTTATTATTAATAAATAATTACTTATTGATGATAAGTAATAAGGAGCATTTTGTCATGTACCTATTAGCTCTCTGTATATATTCCTTAAGGAAGGGTCTGTTCTCTTCTCCCCATTTTTATGTGGTTATTGATTTTTTGGTTATTAGTTAGGAAGTAATCCTTCAGCAAATGAAAAGTAGGCAAATATTTTCTCCCAGTATTTTCGGTGTTTTTCTTATTTTAGTTAACATTTCTTTTGCAGTGCAGAAGCTTCTTGATTTTGTGTAGTCCCCTTTGTTAATTTTCACTTCTGCTTGTTTGGCCAGTGGTATTGTGTAATACCACTGGCCAAATATAATATTCAGGTCTCCCAAAGAAGAATAGAAAGAGCTATACTTGGAATATCACGTTTCACTCAAATGAGAGAAAGAATCCCGAGTTCTGACATCCGTCAACGATCAAGAATCAGGGACGCTGTCTCATTTGCCAAGGTGTCGAAAATCAGATGGGCTGGTCACATAATGAGATTTAAAGACGACTGCTGGACTAGAGCTGTTACTGACTGGATTCCATGGGATGTCAAAAGACCGCGTGGCCGCCCACCTACCAGATGGTCAGACTTCTTCGTCAAGATCATGAACGATCGGTTTGAGTCTCTTCGTGTTCCCAGAGCAAACAGATGCCATTGGGCTACATTAGCACGCGACAGGGACAAATGGAGATGTTACTGGCGCCCACTGGAGCAAATCGACGACTAACGGGAAGTTAAGTGATTAAGTGATTGTGTAATACCACTAAATTCAATGTAATAAAGAGTTTTCCTTGATATAATTTATAAACTGAAGCCTAGTATCAAGGTATTTAATCCATTTTAAGTTGACTTTTGTGTATGGTATGAGATAAGGACTTGAGTTCTTTTTTTTTAACACGTGGCTGAGCAGTTTTCCCAACACTATTTGTTGAAGAGACTTTTCTTGCTTCACTTCACAAGCCTTGCTCTTTGTTAAATATTAACTGACCATCTAACAATATATTTTTAGGTTCTGCCTCTGAGTTCTCAATTTTATTCAATTTGTCTGAGTGTCCTTCTTGATTCCAATATCACTCTATCTTGATTAATCTAGCGTTGTAGTACAATTTCAAGATGGGTGAGTAAAGCCAGCCTCCCATTTTCTTTATCTTGAGGTAGCTTTGGCTACTTGGGGGTTTTATTTCTCCATTTAAAATTAAACAATGATATCAAATTTGGTCATGTCTCTTAAAAATATCATGGGTATTTTTATCTTTGGAAAAGATGGACATTTTGTCCAATTTTATTCTTTCCCTCCCTGGCCTTAGCAGAACGACTGGCAGCTGAAGACCTCCAGATACCCAGTCACATCCATGCACAAGACCACTCTCCACACACTCAGATGAGCCTCACGCATGAAGGAACCAGCAGAGGAACCCAGGTGTGCAGAACCCGGGGCTGAGATCTCTAAACCTGCTTGGATTGGGACTGGGCTTCTCCACCCAGATCCCCCACCTTCCAGTAGGTAGATGGTTATACCCACCAACTGCCTCTGGCGGAGTGTGATCCCATCAACGGCCAAGATCCAGAGACTATAAAACCAAGCTTCCAGGTCACGAATGTGGCCACGCGACCTCTTATTATCTAGTTCTTACTCTTGGAGAACCTGGAAGGCTGCCGAGAGTATCCTGCCCACATGACAGAGTCTGGCAAGCTTTCCGTGGCGTATTCGATATGCCAAAACCCAGTAACAATGATGGGTCTCATTCTCCTGACCCTGAAAAAGCCTCCAATGTGATACTTGCTAAAATCTCAGGGCTAGGACAAATGGAGACCTTACTGGTGCCTACTCGAGGAAATCGATGAATAACGGGATGACAGTGATACAGTGATACAGTGATCCATGAACAGGAGATGTTTTACACTTTGTTGTATCACCTTTATTTTTCTCAATAGTGACTTACAGTGTTATTTTTATACTCATCTCTTTTATGAAGCTGTTTCCCAGGTATTTTTTGTTTGTTTTTAAGGCAAATTGTGATTGGAATTGTACTTTAGAAAATTCTCTCTCTTCCTCTTTATTGTTTGCTTATAGAAATGCCATGGATTGCATTTGATTATGTGTTGATTTTATGGCCTGTCACTTCCTGTATGAGTATATTGCTTCTACTAGTTTTATTTGCAGAATCTGTAGAGTTTGCTAAATATAGTCTCATGTCATCTGCAAGTAATGATTGCTTACTTTTTTCCAATTTGAATTTCCTTAATATCTATTTATTTTTAATTCCTCTGACATTCCTTCTAATACTATACTAAATAAAGGTTGTCCTCATGCTCTGCAGTGCCAAGAGATTTTCAGGGTTACCCCGGAAGTAACCTGGAAGTACTCAGGGGGCCTCAGGGTCACAGCTGGGTGTTCTCAAGAGTATTCAAGGTCACACCCAGCAGTATTCCGGAGCTTCCAAGGTTGTACCCAGTGATGTTGGGAGATATCGTGTGGTGCTGAGGAGCAATACTTATGACACATCAGACATATGCCTTTGCCCCTGTACTATTTTTCTAGCTCTCAATGTCTGCTTTTCATGAGCTTTCCAGTCATCCCAGAGCCCACCTGAACTTAGTTTCCTCTTTCAAGGTCCTGTCTCCAGATTGAGTCACAATCTGACATATTGGGGATTAAGGCTTTGATATGAATTAAGGGTGCATAATAAAGCCTGTATCAGTGGCTAACCTGACTAGTTAAGTGCTCTTAATTTTATTTGTTTCATAAAATATAAAGCAATTTTAAAAATAACTAATCTTGTGTGGAAATAAACCTGAACTTTCTTTCCAGAGGTGGGTAGCAACTGAAATGTATGGTTATTTATTTATTTATTTATTTTATTTTATCTTTTAGCATCTGTTTTTTTCCCCCCTAAAATTTCTGGAAGTTTATATTTTGCATTTATGTAGAAAGAATTGTCAAGGGACTTACACTCAGCTTTTGGCATCTCCTTTTCTGTAGTACATTTCTTTCTTGTATTATTCTGGAGCGATAGCACAGTGATAGGGTGTTCGCCTTACAAGCGGCCAACATGGCCGACCCGAGTTCGATTCCTCCGCCCCTCTCGGAGAGCCCGGCAAGCTACCGAGAGTATTCGATATGCCAGACACAGTAACAACAGTCTCCAATGGAGACGTTACTGGGCCCGCTCGAGCAAATCAACGATCAACGGGAGGGCCTTTACCTTTTACCTTTATTATTCTTATATTTCTTACTTGAAATGGCTGTTCATCAACTCTAAACTGAAACCTTTAAAACCAAGGATTTTTGCTATAGTTCCCAATAGTGTTGTGCTATGCACATGAGACACCCTCAAATGAAAAGTCGTAGGAATTAAAATCTCACCCAGTACAATTCTTTGTTATTGTGCAGCCTGCCTCTGGTTTCTGTCTGATTTTGTCTGCTCAACATTTTAAAACTATTTTTCTAAGAAAATATTATCTTTATCTATAGATAAGGTAGTCTAGTAAAAGTTAATCATCTATTTCCAAAGTTTTAAAAATAATTAAAAAAAAATTTTTTTATTTAAATTTTTTTAATTTAAATTTTTTTATTAGTGAAATACCATGAGGTACAGTTGTAGATTTACAAAACTCGGGTCGGCCGCATGCAAGGCAAACACACTACCCGCTGTGCTATAAGAGGGTAAGAAATAAACTGAGCAATTATTAGAATTCTGTTTATTCTAAAGGAGAATTTTGGATGTTGGGGAAGGACAATTAATAGAAACTCTGTGCTGAATAACTTTGTGAATCTCACTGCCTCAATTAAAAATGAAAAGTAAATAATTAACAGCAAAGCTTTAAGTTGTGGTTTTGTGTACTCATAAAAGAGTCATTCTATTGCTCTTGTTGGCTTTACAGGTGTATCAACCACAAAAGCAGAGTATCCAAATGTATAATAGACTTAGGAATCTGGTCATATTATTCCTTCTTTTCTCTGAAATTCTGGGAAAAAA